TTGGGATTATAGGTATGTGCCATGGCCTCAGCTCCACATTTTTACACTTCATTGCTTAAACATTTTTAACTTGTAATTGTGAAATAACTTTAGAGTTGTTGCAAAGATAGTGCAAAGAATTCTCATTTAGCTTCCGGATTCCCCCAAATATAACACACAATCACAGCTCAATTTTAAATATCATAAACTTAACACTGAAATGCTACATATATAACATTAAAGAATCTACATATTATAGTCAAATTTTGCTAATTATCCCAATAATGTTCAATATGGTCCAAGATCTGGTTGATGATCATATGGTGCATTATTGTCATCATGTCACTGTTGTTTTGGTTTCTGTTATCTGGTATAGTTCCTCAGTTTTGGTCTTTCGTGGTGTTGATGAACTTGAAGATTGCAAACCAGTTAATGAATACCCTTCAGTTTGGGTTTCTCTGATGTTTTCTCATGGTTTGTAACATTCTGGTGGTTTGTTTATTTATTCATGCCATCAGGGGGTGGTATAATAATGGAAATATAGTGTCCCAGTTAGGTGTACAGATTCTACTCAGAATACCTGGGTTCCATGTTCCACATTCGGTTCTACCAGTCTGTGTAACCTTGTTTTTGTTTTTTTTTAAACTCAATTTTTTTTACCTTTCAGATGGAAAGGTGTCAGTACCTATCTTCTAGGGCTGTTGAAATTATAAAAGGTGTGAACATACACACATAGTGGTTGGAACACAGCGAGTATAATAATTCCTGGCACAGAGTGAATATAATAATCTTAGCTAACATTTCTTCAGCACTTTCCTTTGCACATCAGATGCAGGGCAAAATGTATTCAATTAATTTTTAAAAAGTTACAAAATAATTAACCCCCCCCCCTTTTTCTGACAACTATTCCTAGAACTCCAGCCCTCATTAGCATGCTTTTAGCACTTCACCCATAGATGCATTCACTGAATAACCATAGTGATAACCTCAGCCCTTAACCTTTCCATATGCTTCTTGTTGAAGGGGCCAAACCACTCAGACCCTCACAACATCCATTGTATTGGCCAACCCAGGGCAGACACAGCAGGGAGGCAGAGAGGGAGCTGCCTACAATGCTGGATGGGGGGGGGGAGGGAAGGAAGCCTGAACAGATTCCAAGAAGCTAGAAAGCATGTAAAACACATCTGTGCACATTTGGTAAAAGACAACTGTTCATTAAAAAGTCAAAGCAACAACAACAAAATCCCTCAACATAAAAATAACAATGCAAGGCTGGGGTTGAGGCTCAGGGGTAGAGTGCTTGCCTAGCATGTTCAGGGCTCTGGGTTCAATACTCAGCACCACATAAAAATAAATAAATTAATTTAAAAAATAACAATGCTTCCATCTGAGTAGCAAATGACATTTTACAAAGCAATTTTGATCCTTTACCTCATTTGATTTTTACCCCTCAAGATACCATTTGTAAAGATAGGGGAATGGGTCTAAGTGGCAACCTGAAGCTTTAATTCAGGCTTTGCCTCTGAATATAGGAGGAGAAGGAGGAGCTGGAGGAGGAGAAGCAGGAGGGAAGGGGGGAAGGGGGAGGGGAGAAGAGGTGGAGGAGAAAGAGAAAGAAGAAAGGAGGAAAAAGATGCAGTAAATAGAGCTCAAAGACAAACAGGATTAAAATCTAACAAAATGCAGAGACTGAAGTATAAAAATGCAATCAGCATCATTGTTACAACTTGGCAGTCAAGGACAACAGGGTTTTCCAAGAAAAGGTACATTCATGAGGCCTTGGGTACAGATTAAACAATGTAAGGAGAGTGGGAAAAGTATATATGCGTACTTTAAAAAAAAACAATTTTGTAGTTGTAGATGGACAGCATGCCTTTATTTCATTTGTTTATTTTTTATGTGGTGCCGAGGATCAAACCCAGTGCCTCACACATGCAAGGCAAGAGCTCTGTCACTGAGCTACAGCCCCAGCCCTATATATACTTTAAAAAAATAAAGTCTATTTCTGGCTATTTAAGAATCAAATAGTTTCAATAGGTTGGAGAAAGACCATACATCACACTACTTCTGATGCACCAGCAGCATCAAGCACACTGATATGCACACAGTAGAGTCATTCCCTTATCAATATTTATTTCCTGATCAGACTGCACATTTCCCCCTTTCATTAGTGCATTAAAGTTGTATATAATTGTTGGGTTCATTTAGACATAATCATCTATGCATGGAATTTGATTTACTCCATTTCCTGACTGGATTTTTAAAAAAGTTTTGGTACTAGGGATAAAACCCAGTGCCTCCCCCATGCTAAGCATATACTCTACCACTGAGGGACACTTCCAGCCTCCTGGCTGGACTTTTATTTATGCAATGATAAGAAATGATTTTTAAAAAACTTCCATGAATATCTTACCCTCTCCAAATTAGTTGTTACCACAAAATGCCAATTGAAATTATGTAGAAATGGTCAGCCTTGTGAACTATGTGAAAAGAGAAAACTTATTTCCCATCACCAAGTTGTTTCCATATTATTTTGATGTCAAACTGAGACCTTTCCAAAAAATACACTAAAATATCAATCTTATCATACCAAAGTTTATTGATTACACCAAAGAAAAATTCTATAATGAAAAAGGCAAGTTGCATTGATAAAAGATGGCATCACATTCATTTTAGAAAGCAACATAGATGTAAAAAATTGCTTATGTGAAAAATGTAATATTGCAGTTCCACTTTGCAAGCTGAAAAATGATTTTTGTCAACATTTGCATAAAATCTGAACATTTATATGCTGCCTGTTATTAAAAATTTCATCACTAGATTATGAATTTTGCAAATTTTAGGCTTACATTTATACTGTTGCTGGTGTATATGTGATAGATATGGAATGAATAGTTTCAGTTTAATAGGCAACAACCTCAAACAGTGTACAACAGTTGTGAAAATGATCAGGACATTTTGATAGCTCAAGATTATTCAAATTATAAATATGAGGTCCTGTTTATATTTCCTCCCCTTCTGTCACAAAATAGGGTGGTCAGATTGTAGGAATACTAGATGGATTATTCCAAATTATTTCATCTGTTAACTTCACACTAGCCATTTTGTAGCTCATTAATAAAAATACCTTTCAAAAAAAAAAAAAAAAAAAGCCAGGTCCTTCTCAAGGGTCTAGGCCACGATCTTATACATCATTGCCATTCTAAATTTGACCTGTAGTGCTCAGTGTAACGTGTAGCTGAGACATGACTCTAAATCTCCTTTACTCTTTCTTGTTGGCAGCAACACATTTTACATGCAACCAATTTTATTTCTACTATGCTGAATATTCTAATTATGCCAACTCTTTAATGGTTCTGGCATTATACAAGCCTACTTTGGCTCTCTTATTTGTATTCACAGTCCCTACAGTTCTTCTGAAAAACTACACAGCAACAATTATAAAAACAACAACAACAAGAACAAGAACAAAACATCAAAAGCTTTCCTGGGTTAGACATTTTAGCTCTTCGGAATAGGCAAAGAATTTAAAGACTTTGTCTTTAGTACATCACCTCAAATACAGGCTACCAGAAAACAGAACACTTAGGCAGTTGTGAATGATATCTAACAAAATACTCAAAAATAATACTGACAGAGGAAAACAAATTAAATAATAAAAGGGATAAGTAATGATGAAATGGTTTCTGATAATTAAAATTATGTCCTTTCTAGAATTTAAAAAAAATACACCTAGACATTAACACAAAATATATGTGGAAGAAAACTACACCTAAACATTAACACAAAATATATGTGCCATATGGACTATGTAAAGATATTGGTAGAGATTGAATCCAGTACTTTTCCAAATCAAGGTACAATCTACCCATTAGTAATAGTACAGGCATGCCAGAAAGAAAAAAGGTAGAAATTGATATGAAAATATTTTAAAAGACCATTTTAATTTAGCAGTCAAATCTGAGACCATTTATATCCAAAATGTGTCTGATTTTACCATTGAATAAAGACATTTTATATTTAGTTTTAAGTGAAATCATTAGGAGCCTAAAGCTTCTAAGTCCAGCAAGTTGAGGCCCTAACCAAGATCAATATAACAGTTTAGAATTATACCACTTGCACTGGTCAAATTAGCTATGAGAGAGACACAGAGTCATAGCTCTATAGGCAGAACCAGCTTGGGATGGATGTTTCCTCTCCCCAAATTGGCAAGTTAAAAAAGAAGGTGTTGCATTATATGCATGACTGCAACCTCTTTGAAATAAAAAACCATTTAAAATAAGTTGTTCTTTCTAGTCTCTTTACATAAAATGATAAAAGGCTAATGTTTAGAATGGCTTTATTTTTGTATAAAAATGATCTTACCCACTTTGCCTCAGTTTCCAATAAAATTAACATTGGAAAAAATCTGTTTATTCCCTATTTTGAGGGACTACTAAATGACTGAAATGTTTTATGCTTTATTTTCAAGTCTAGTAGCCTTACACCCATAAGTGGTACTTAATTCAGAAAAACAAAAACAAACATTTTTTTCTGTTCTCACAATAACAACCAGAGTCAACACTTCCCACACAAGTGTTCAAGGTATTTTTGGGCAAAGATATTCTACTAAGACACAATTAGCATGTGAGTGAACAGAAAAGATGAACTCTTCCATCTGATGCATCGATACCATCTAGTCCTTCAGTATTCAAGTATTCCTTTTGTTTGAAAAAAAATAATTTAAGATGATCATTCAGCAGGAATGAGAAATGTGATCCAAACAGCCTATGTCTTCTGCCAAGCAAAAAATGTAATACTGTATTTTAGTAAAATCTATTCATTCCCATTGCATGACTTCTACTTTATACTATTGTATTTAAATCCATTCACAAAGTCAATGGGTTAAAAGAGCACCCATTTGGTAGTTAAGATTATTCTAACTAAAGCCAGAATTTTAAGTAAAGAATACTTTCAACTTCATATAATTCTTAACTTAGAACTTTGGCCATAATGGCTAATTACAATAATTGTAAATGCTTAGAAGAGTAATTGGTATTTTAATGAACATTTATTCTGAACCCTATACATAAGAGAGTGGTTTAGTTTTTGTTGCATATCGAGTATCCTGAGATGATAACTTTTTTGGTGGTTTCTTCATGTTTTCTTTTTTTAGCTGTAATCACTGTCAATATGCTTGTAGGACAATAACATAGGCAGTTCAAGATTCGGATTCTGAAAAATTTAAAATATACAGTTAAAAGATGTATTTTAATAATTATATAAAACCATCTGTTTAGCATTTTCAAAAATAAATCACATAGTAAATTTTGTTATGCAAGTAAAGCAACTGTCTCAACAAACTGTCAAGTTTTATTCACATGCAGGGGAAAAAAAAAAGCAGTGGCACAATTACCAGATTTTAACCCTGTCTTCATTTGTCAGCTGAGTAGATTCAGGCTTGCTTTTTGCTTTTGGATTGCTCCAGGTTTCTCCTAATAACACTACAGCAGAGTTTTAACATACTTTGATCCCTTCCTGTAGGCTGGAAGCTTCTTGAAAACAGGTACATTTTATTTATCTTTTTATCTCTAGCATCTAGTACAATGTCTGGCACATAGCAGATGCTCAGGAAATGTTGAATGAATGAATGAATGGGTTACTTTTTTTTGGATGTGTGAATTTTGACAGGAACTCTGAAGATATATTCAGTTTTAGGAGAGTTCCGAGAAAAATTTCTTCCTTTACTGAAGGAAACATGCTTCCCCCCCAAACTATTTAAGTTATTTTCCATTTTGGTAGATCATGGGCTATCAGTCAATTGACTCTTCTACTTTTCTTATGTATCATCTTTTTAGAAAATGAACCAAAGAAATTTCTGTAAGGAATCTGTAGATTCTGTTCTGTGCTTTATACATCATAAAATTCTATAATTAGAATGGCGTATAATGGACAAACTGATCACTGAATGTATTTCAGGTATATTGAGAAGTAGAAGTCATATACCTAACTTTGGTTTTCGACTCAAACTCAAGCTTTTTCAACCTGAGTAGTGAAGGTCTTAAGGAAAATGCTATTTCTTCCCATTTTGGAATATCAAGTCTTGACATGGACATTACAAATCCATTAGAATAGAATATCTTTCATTTCTATTTATGTTCCACGTACTTCAGAACCACTACTTGGTATTCAGGCAGCTCTGTAGGGTCATGGTGACTCTAACTAAATTAAGATTGCCATTCGCATTGAGAGAATATCAAATGAGTCAGCTGGTTCTCTTACAAACCAACTCAGTGGCTTTTTATCAGCCAAATATTTTACTTGGAGGAGAAATAATGTTACATGAAAATCTATTCCTGGAAGAAATAACTACATTAAAATTAAAACAATTATTAAAAAAAAAAAAAAAAAACTTTCCTTGGTTCTGTTAGCCATTGTAGGAGTTAAGGCCCTGGAGAAGCCAAAAGCTGTAGCAGTGTCTGCTACTCAGCCTAGTGCCCCAACCATAGACCAAACTAAAGAAAGCAATCCAGGGGGATACAAAATTAACTGGAAACAGTACAGCTAAAATACATCTTACAGTTTAGGACAAAGTAATCTGGACAAAGGGGTCAAAGACTTTGAAGGTTACTGAGAAACAATTCATCACTGAGGGGAAACACACACGTGAGTCATCACAAAATGGGTAAAAAGATGATGAACACAGCAAAAGGAGTCCACTTCCAAAATAACACTGCAGATGCAGACTGTGGTGAACTGCAGGAGGTAAAAGAACCAATGGATTCAATCCATTAGTTTAATTTTCATTCTTTTCCAGAGGGAGGGAGATTTGATAGCTGATGGAAAAAAATGGGCATCTGAAGTAGACTCAATCATTAGCCTCAAAGTGAACTGACCCAGAATCTTATTCATGATGATCATTAATTTTTTTTGTGTGTGTGTGTGAAAGATGGCCCTGCTGTAAGCTGTACAGAGTTGTTTCCAATCTGATATTGTAAGCCTCGTTCATGAATTACTCTAAATTCCCATAGATGGATAAAAGACCTCTAAAGATGTGGGTGCCAAAACCCCTGCAGTGGGAAATGTAGAGTGCACATAAAGAAATCACTCTGATTTCAAGGGCTCATCCTATGGTATTTCAATTCCCCCCAAATATATATTTTGGGGTCAATGAAATAATATGGTATAAAATAAATTTACACATTTTTGGAAATATGAACTGTGAGGCATTTTATATCATTAGGCATGTATCCCCCTGAATGGCTAGGAAAGATTTTACCTCTGAGAGTTGAAACATTTAGCTTGAATAAAACTTGACATTAAAAAAGTTATGATTAGAGTAGACTGGTTCATTAACATGTATTTGGGGATCAGACAGTTACAAGGACATTAAGTGTATACCTGCAAACACACAGACACAGCACATGAAGGTACAAACACATTTGATTATTTTTACAAAATTCTGAGAAAAACATGCAATGCTAAACTGACTTGATATTATACAGATGCAATTTTGGAATACTTATTTTCAATTTTCAAAATTGTCTTTATAAATCAGAATTATATTTCATAATGATTATCAATAAGCATTTTCACATGATGGAACAACCATGACAACTTTCCACTTACAAATTGAATATATTGTATCACTAATTCAGTTTTGAAATATGTCTAAAATTTTCTTAGGGGGTTTAGCAAATTTAAAATATATATTTCCTATATTCCAAGTAATGCATCTTTATATTTTTGCAAAGAATAGTATAAAGTTCACCACACCAACAGCAGAGACAATTTAGAGAGTGATATTTTCATTTTTTCTTTATAATGCTGTTAATCTGTTTCTTTAAAGCCAGCCCACTTGTTTCACACTAGGTACCTGTTACAATATATTAGATTCGTCTGAGAATGTTCGTAAAAGAAGAGGTCTGACTGAAGGTCTGGTGGATAATGAGTCAGATGCCCTTCTACAGCTCAGATTTCTCTGTAATAGTGAGGCAAAGATACTTAAAGCATTTGAAGATTGGTTAACCTACCTTGTGATAAAAATGTAAAAGAAAAAATCATTTCCTATAGACTACACTCTTGTGGCCAAAGGTACAAATGATTAATTACACTACGTAGCAAATGAGTAACATTCAAATGAATACATTTAAAGGCGTAAGAAAGTCTTCAACTCATATTGTTTCTTGTGGAAGAAGTAAATAGACATTAGTAGTATGTGGCAAACTTGGGTTTTTGAAATGGTACTGGTAGGTTATATGGTAAGATGAGTCAATATGGTTTGATTAGTAAACCTTACCATCCTTTTGGTGAACACCTCTGAGAGTTGTGCTGGTGCTGTATGTCAAAGAGAAATTTGTACAAAACATTCCTGTCCTGGTGAAAATACTAGCTTCTACATGCTATGGCTACTACTGTATACCCTGGATCAATGAAACTGTAGATTATAGTCAAAGCTTTTGAAGATTACTTCCTCTTTAGTGAGACAATTTGGAAGGTGAACAAATGATTTTAAAAAATGACAAAATACCGAGTATCAATAGAAGATATAAAAATGAGTCATGAGAAGTAATTTTTCATAAAGAATCAGAAAATGATGTCAGGCAAATGAGAATGCAAGCAAGTTGGTACATTAAGAAAGGAAATCACCTTATTCACTCCAAGAGAAACTGTGATTGCTGGAAGTTTGAGAAAGCATGAAGATAGTAGATGTTCCTGAGGAAGGGAGGCGTTTCGTTACCTTGTTCACAATTGCACAAAAGGTGGAAAATTGCAGTAGAAAAGAGAGAAATGCAGAAACCAAGGGGGAAAAAAAAGAAAAGAAAAGTAAATATTCTCTTAGATGTAAGACATTTTAAAAGAAACCTTGAGAATTGGAAGCAGAAATGACATGTTAGTTTTGAAGACGTTACTTCCTGAAGTAAAAGTAGAGTTAGAGTTAAGATTAATCTATTATATGTGCCAGCCACTATTTATCTATGTACCAATTTTAAATTATTTTGTTAATGGGAAGGTATTATTTTAAATAAAATATTCTAAAATGTTTCTCATTAAAATAAGGCTTATCTTTAATCATAATTCACTACCCTACATTTGTTCAAAGTTCATTGGTCACAGAGCTATGTCCAGGGTCCATCCTCAATTATCAATCTACCTTGAAGTTACTCTCACCCCTATCCAACTGCACAGATACATTATGAATGGACTGATTGCCCTTGGACAGCTGCAAGTCAAAAACCTCACCACAACTAACATAACGGGAAAACATTTGGTGGTACCATCCTCTCAACTGCCTTGAACTTCCTTTGTTTTAACATAATTTTATTGGTTTTCCCATTTTTCCTTACAGAGATCTCTTTAGAAAGGTAGGTTAAATTTTACCTAGGTGAGATGTTTCCGTCAAAACCCAGAAGTTCAAAATTAATAAACTATCTAGAAAAATCTAATAGGTTATTTTTTCCTTCTAATTTTGTTTCTGAAATTATAAGGAAATATACAGACTTGGTTTTGGCTTTGCCCAAACAAAACAGAAGATGAGTGGTCAGCTATGAGGACAAGTTGAACAACTGTACTGATCAAGATTATCCATAATATCTTCTTAGTGACTAAGGAAAATAGGTTTAGGAAAAGATACCAGCTCAAGTAAAATATGTATCAGACAGAATCTAATGAGAAAAATTTTAAAGACAAATGCTTCCATTTACTCTGTTTTGACACAATTACACTTTTAACTGTTCATATTTTACCTTAAACAAAGAAAGGTAGTTATATATCAGTAACATGCAAATCACCAACTGATAAAACTAGAGAAAAAATATTTTTAGGTTCCAAGAAAAAAAAAATTAATTTCTTTTATATTCTATTTTGTGGGCAAAAACCTTGCAGCGAAACTAACATGATACCAAGTCCCCCATCAATGTGTTTAACACATATAAGTCTATTTAAGATCGAAACTTAAGCACACTTGGTGTGCTTAAAAACTTGTATCCAACCATGAAAGTAAAAGTATTCTGGAAAATCACAGCCTTTGAGATAGAAGTCCCCTGCTTTTCTCCTTTGCTAGCAAAGCAATAAACCATCTTTTCCCTGTTTCTCAATTTAAAAAAAGTATTCTGTGAAACAGAATTTTAGGAGTTTAATATATTAGGTGTTAAGGTTAATTTATAAGAGGAAAAAGGAACTATGAAAGTACAGAAAGCAGTAGAAAGCATGAAAAGAGTATCTAAAGCAACTGGTAGTAGGGTGCGATAAGGATGACAGGAGATAATGAGCTGAAACAGTATGAAATTTCCACATTTCTTTGCAGTCTTCTAGAGACCTTTCACACCAGCTCAATTAGCAGCATGTCAAAGAGGCCAATGGATAAAGGCCCATCTTAACAGCCACGACATTAGGATTCAATTTCATTATTACCATTATTATTAAAATGATAAATTGTATTCTCTAATATTTCCAAAGTGCTTTCTTGGGGAATTTTGTTCAGAAAGCTGACATTCTTGTTTTCCTGTGTTCTACTCAGAAAGAGCTCACTACACAATGAAATATTTCTTCCTATTTGTGCAGACGTCCCATGTTAGGCATGGTTATGTTCCTAGATCCATTCCCATTTGACCATTCTTCCCATGTTTGGCAGGCAAAGTCAATCCTCTTTCTTCTGGCTGTAGTGGTTTACATGAGAACACATTAAATAAGGACGTGTGGAAATATCAAGTGATATTGGCTAGAAGGTCCAGGTGTATTTCAATAATTTACAGATAGGCAATGACTATGGTTACTTAGATAGAACAACTTTGTGAAATACCAAAAATCCTTAACTTTAAACTACCTTTGAAGTGTTATCTTGCTGTTTCACTGTTCAAAGCTCAATGGTAGTTCCATCATACACTGTCAGTAGCAGTACGGTTATGCAGCTTTGTCACTTTATATGCTAAAGCTCTATGGTTCTTAAAAATGGGATTTTGGGACAAAAATTAACCTCACTGCTGAAACTTCAGCTGAAGGTTATGTCCTGAACTATAACCCTTGGGTTAGCTACTTTTGAAGAAATAATTCTTTTTAAAAAAATATTTCAGTTTTCGGTGGACACAACATCTTTATTTTTTATTTTTATGTGGTGCTGAGGATCGAACCCATTGCCCCATGCATGCCAGGTGAGTGCATTACCGCTTGAGCCACATCCCCAGCCCAAAGATATAATTCATTATAATGCAAACATCATGACAGATCTTGGCAGTGCTGGAGGCTGCCATTTTTTTATGGAGGCTTCAAAACTTGAATAACTCAAGTTTTGTTATAAAAAGTCATATAATTGATTCTCCTATTCTGTTTTATACCTGCTTCCTGAAAAGAGTTCAATAAGAATGTCCTTTATAACTTGACTAGAGTGACAGCCTTGTTTGATTCATTCCAGAATTACAAGCATCTACTACAGGAGCTAACTCACAGTGGGCCCTCAGGCAATGTATGCTGAATTGAATGGAATTCGACATAAGGCTTATTCTATAATTGTTATAAATGGCTTAGCCTCTTTCTCAAATGCCATAGAGACATTTTCACTATCCATTTCTAAGTCCCGTTTTTAAAGCACTGCCAAGAGCCACATGTGGATAGCTTTGGTACCCCAATTTCCATAAGCATTTCTGGATGTTTACCCAGGATGCCTAATGATTGAAGTCAGGACTACCTTCTACTCTAGAAAAGGACACAAATCCCATTACAGAGCCTATCAGGATATGAAGAAGAACCAGTATAAGAGAATCATTTGCCTCCCTTTAAAATGGAGCCAATGCCTTAGCAAGGAATACTGAACAAAGTAGGAAGCCCCTCAAAAATGTTAGACTCTTGATCACTAAGCATAAAGACTAATACATTTCAGGGAAAGTAAGATACCCATTTTCCTTTATTTAGAAATTGGCCTCTCCTTTTTTGATATGGTCAAAAAGGGCATTATGCAAACAGATGTGACTTATCAGAATCTCTGTGGCTGCCATGATTCAGTTGGCCTTTATGCATTCATAGGCAATACAATGCTCTTGCATTTTCTCATGAAAAAAGAGGCAGCACTGCTGAGTGCCCACAACTATTTTGCCTCATACGCAACTCTCAAAATCCCACAGAGTCTGAAAAACTATTTAGCCTTTCAGACATAGGATATAAAGAGAGATGTTCATCAGTAGGTGGTTCAACAAATGTTGATTCGTTCAGTGAGCATATGAATGAGTGAATGAATGAATGAATGAATGAATGAAAATTTCCTGGTTCTTGTAACACATTAGCATGCCAAGCTACAGCACAGATACTAGAATTCCTCCGATCATGGATATAACCCATGGTAAATTTGATCTTAAATCCTTGGCAACATTGTATGCTGCTAAATAAAAAGGGCTGCAGCAGTCCCAGAATTTCATACTTTCAACAGAAGTTTGGAATCTGCTGTTTGCATGGAAAGAAACTGTTCTAAGTCTTTATCTGTGATTTCTTAGTAGCATCCCTCCAATGGCCTATATAGATATCACCTCCAGCCAGTGTCTAATTTTTTAAAAAAGAAGACCTAAGTAAGAGGATAAGATGATATGTTAAAAATTTGATTTCAGAGATTTTGTACCATCTTTAGAACATGAAGCTGGATGTGAGCCATTATTTAACATAGGTCCATTATCCCAAATAAGAAAAACTTCTAGAAGTACCCCCAAAAGTATATTATCAAATAAGGATAATGAAAGAGCAACTCAGAGATCCTCCTTTACAAATTCTTCATTATACAAATAGGCACTAAACCATTACTGCATTTTTTATTTGGCTTCATGCAAATTGCCACTTACACCAGTCTGGGAGGAACCTGTTGTATTGACCTGTTCAACTGATATTAAGGTGTAATCAGATAATGAGAAAACCACTTTTCCATCCTAAAACTAAAAGCCAGGCTGGAGGGAGTTAGCTAGAGGGCTACTAGGAGGATTAAAGAGTGAACTAACATAGTCTTATATAGACTAACATTACTGTGTCCAGTTTCAACCTATAAGGCATATAAAATGAGGGAGTTCAGGGCAATTCTGACCACCTAACTATACAGACTGGCCTTAAATAGAATCAGTGTAGATTACACCACTGACAGTTCCCTTTTAATTGGGGCTGACACTGACTTGTTACATGAAGTTCCTCTTTTGTACTTCTAACCAATGAAGATTTTCCCACTGTATTAATTTTATATCTTCATGTCTACCTAATGTCAACCACTTGATTCTATCAACAACAACAATAATGCTCCATTATCTATCAGTTTCGTGGCCTGGTTGGCAAATTTGATCAAATACCTTAGGTAGTTATAGCTTAGAATATTTCCTGAAAATACTGTGTTGAGGAGCTATAAGACCTAGGTGATGTCAACATAACAGAAACAGGGTTTTATTATAGCAAAGCTAGCATTGGCAGAAATATGACATATTTGGTCAAAATCTACCAGAAGATTTATTTGCTAGGCTAATCTATCCATTTCACCTTAAAGGCTTTTTAAAAAAATGTTCAAAAGATATCAGATAATGTGACAGAAGAAAATAATTTCTCATTCCCAATAGGAAATTTGCAATTTAATAGGAAAAAAACACACTCATAAAACAATCTTGAATTTTTATAAGTGTGTTTGGAAGGATAAGGATATAGAAACCATATCCAGGGAATTTTCTTTGGTTTCAGTATACTGCTGGAAAGACAGGGCTAGAAGCAACACAGAGATTAAGCAGCACTATAATTAAAGGAAGGGGAAAGGTTTAAAAGAGGCAAATTGGGATTATCAACTTAAAAATCTGCAAACAACCCACAGGGAAATTTCTAAAGTTAAAGCTGAAATGTTGGTGTGGAAATTCCTGGTGGGAAAATTCTGGGATAAATAAAAATGAAACCATGTTTTCCTTTTTAAATTCCATATGGAGCATATGAGATACTCCATATGGATTGCTAAAGGTCACATAGAACACTATTAAGGAATCTACTTACCACCTGCATTGGATAACGAAGTTTTTACTATACTTTTTATGCAGAAGAGGAAATTAAGTGATGAACCTGCAAGGAGGGGTTTAACATGCTGTAACTAATGCAATTCTCTAAATACAGTTTTTAGTTCATGGCAGATATTGAAGCCCCTTCCAAAAATTAGGTTAAATTTTAAACAGTTCTTACCCTGGCACTTCTTCTTTTTACATTCTTTAATACTATYAGGAGAATCTCAGGGAAAAGGCTGATAAATATTAGAAGAATTATGGCCAACCATGTGGATATAGGAGACAGCATTTGAGCAAATATGAAATACATTTTCTGTTGTTTGAGAAAAGGCCTGGAGTGGAAAGAAAATACATAATGGAAAAACAAATGAGTTCCTGTCAAGTGAAAACAGAAGTTTAATTGAAACTGTCTTTTTTATTTAAAAGATATCTTCCTTATACACATTAATAAAAGAAATTTCTCTAGAATGTCCCCAAAGTGGTAAACATATTTCATTTACCAAATGTTTGGAAAGAAAAGGAATGAGAATCAAAGGGGAAAAATAATAAAATTCATCTGACTTGAAAACAATCAGGCAATCAACTATAAAGCTGCCAACTGGTGAATATTTATGTACATTAGAAAATGCTTGAGCTTCAAAAATATTCAAGAGAAATGATGGTTAATTTTTATCCTAATAGGCATTTTATTTCCTCAGCTGTCTTATTAATATGAGAATGCATTTATGTTCCTCATTTAGTGCTCTAAAAAAGACATTTAAAAGACATTTTTATACCACTCCCCTTGAAAATCCTATGTAAATACAAAAAGGATTATAAATCTTACAGTCTCTCACAAATGAGAGTAATCTGTCATTATCATCTGCAAATGTACATTGGGCAAAAGGTTTCTAGACAGTAAAACACCACTAATAGGTCAGTAAGCCTTGAAATCCAGAAATCCAGAGGACCCCTCATTCTGAAGTTAGACTTCATTCCAATTCATTCACTGAACTGTTAAGTGGCCATTGAGAAGCCTGGTCTCCCTTCTCCTGTCTAGAGCTGAGTCATAGAGAACCTCAACAGGCTAACTTAATTTTGTTCTAATTTGAGGGGGAGGAAGAGGCTGCTTAAGATAAGAATGTACATCATATACTATCTTCGGATTAGGAGCTCTAGGTAGATAACCAGTTGGTCCCATTTACTAGATCACAGATTATATACCGTATGTGCTGAAGGTAAATTGGTTTCTTATTTAAAAACTTACATTTGTGCTCCCTTATACACCACAATAGAAATCAAGCTTTTGGTTCTACATATATAAGGACTAGATTGTGGAATAAAAGTTGGTAGATTAGTGAGGTAGAGAAATTCCTGAGGCCTAAATAGGCCTAAGAGGTTAAACAGGCTTTCTAGGAAAATTCTATCATACAGAAAAAAGACTGTTGCAAAACACCACCCTACTCTTAATTCTACAAAGTGGCCTGAATTAAAATTTTAGGTAATTAAGTGAGCCATACCAAAGGTCCAACAGACAAGTAAGAGCTAGCCACAGGGTGTTCCTTTGCAACATACCCCCGATACTCTGATTAATATCTCTAGATTTTTTTTTCTACTTTGATGTCATCTGTGGGGCTTTGCAGGAAGGATTGCATTTGGGGTTCAGAAATCATCATTCTCACTGCATAACCCCAAAGAGGGTATCTCAGTGCTTCAGAGTAAAACATGTCCTGGGATATTAACTGCAATTAACATTCAGCTGAAGTTTTGCATAATTTCATACAGTAGCATAATATGGCTAGCTCTGTTAAAAGGACAGCATTGCAGGCAACAAAATATAGATTTGTTCCTCCTTTATTCATGGGGAAGAAATCCTAAGACCCCTCTGTAGATGCCAGAAGCCACAGATACTACCAAACTCTCTCTTTCTACATATTATTTTTTCCTAGAATGAATGCCTATGATTAAGTTTAATGTATAAAGTAGGCACAGTAAAAGATTAACAATAATAAAATAAAATAATCATAACAATATACTGTAATAAAAGTGCCAGTATCATTATTCTTGTGTTTTGGGGTCATTATTAAATAAGTAAGGGTTACTTGAATACAAGCATTATGATACCATGAGAGCTGATAGAATAAGTGAGATGGATACTAAGTGAATAATGGGCAGGCAGGTGGTATATACAGCCTGGATACACTGGAAACTCATGTATTTGGCAGAATGGAGCTGGGTGGTATGAGAGTTCATCATATTACTCTGAACAGTGTTCAATTTAAAACTTATGATATTTATTTTTAGAGTTTTCCATTTATGATTTTTGAGCTGTGGTTGACCATAGAAAAACTGAAACCTCAAAAAGTAAACCTGTAGCTGGGAGCCAAGGTGCATGCCTGTAATCCTAGTGGCTGAGGAGGCTGAGGCAGGATGATCATGAGTTCAGAGCCAACCTCAGTAACAGCGAGGTGCTAAGAAACTCAGTAAGACTCTGTCTCTAAATAAAATACAGAATAAGGCTGGGGATGTGACTCAGTGGTTGAGTGCCCCTGAGTTCAATCCCTAGTACCAAGAAAAAAAAAAAAAGTAAACCTGTGGATTAGGAAGAACTACTGTATTTAATTTTTATTAAGTATCACTAATGATTAAACAGGTATGACAATGTCTTAATCACTTAAATGGTTTACTTTAATCAATAAGGAATAGTCTGCGGAAAGGATTAGAAACTTGTTAAGGATGCTAGAAACATTTTAATCTTGTGGAAATTTTGCATAATTTTCAGATGTTGATTATACAATTCATAGAATTATGATACTCTAGGCAGATCTACAATTCCATATTGCCTTTGCTTAATCAGCTTTGATTCATTTGTATATTAAAGAAAATAGACTTTCTTCAGTTTTGATGCTCTCAATCATTACCTATAGAGGTGCCAAATATATATACTTTCTGAAGCTTATACTTTCTTAAGTGATTAGGTTGTTCATATTTTCATTTCTTAAGGCTTTTATAAGAAAAGCTTTTCAAAACAGAGTTTAATTAATCCTCAAGGAATATAAACATAGTCTTCACATCTCTGTGATAAAATGTTTTATATGTATATAAGATTTTGCACAAAGCCGTCAAAATATGTAATCTTGGAATCTCATCCCATGACTTACTCCAGCTTTGTTCCTTGTTGCTGGCATCCTTATCAGAAGAAGCCATTGATTAATGGAAACAAATTTGATATTTAAAAAACAAAATATGGGCCTTGGGGAGTAAGGAATGGAGATATAAATACAACTTATTTTCATTCCTTATCCCTCCCCTTATCACAAGTTATGGGTCTATCACTGGACTCATCTGAGGTAGGATACACTCTATTTATCTCTGTCCTATAGAGTACTAAGCACAAAATGGATTCTGAATAAACACACCTTCTGAACTAGGATGAAATAAATGAATTCTGAGGCTAAGCTGTAGAGTCTGCCTACCCCTATCCCAAAATAGTGAGATGATGATTAAGATAAAACTGAGTATTAAGTGGAATACCCTTGAGCACATATGTTGTGACATGAATGACAGGTATAGAGTCAGCACTCATATCTATGGGTTCTGAATCTGGCTTCAAACAACTTTGGATCAAAAATATCTGAAAAATGTTTGTCTATACTGAACATATGCAGACTTTTTCCTGTCATTCCCTAAACCATATAGTCTAACAACTATTTACATAGCATTTTCACAGAATTAGGTACTATAAGTCATCTAGAGATGATAAAGTATATAGGAAGAGATAAATAGGTTATATGCAAATACTGTGCTATTTTAAATATATAAGGGACTTGAGCATCTGAGGATTTTTGTATACACAGGGAGATCCTGGAACCAAACCTCCACAGATACTGAGGGACAACTATACACTTTAAAGAGAAAATAGGGTCCAGATGGATTAACAGTATATAAGGCCAAATTATCAGGCAGAAAATTCAGAGGATTTCTACTGGAGATCACATGGGAGGTCTTGGTAGAAATTAGTTTCACTTCAAAGATTTGGACAGGGGCTACCAAAGGGAAGTCCTTTTTGAGTGACTATGTACTCCATAGACTTGTATTTGAAATTTTACCTGAAATTAGTAGCATTACAAACTGTACCTCTATTCCATTAATATTAAAGACTTGCTATCATATATAATCAAAACTTTAATAAAAGTATAATGTTTACAAAATATACATATAGTTATTTATATACTGCTCACAGTTATATAGCTGCTTACCAAATAATTCCTCCCCAGAAGAATGAGAAAAATACATAAAAGGCTAAAGAACCCCAAATGATTTATCTATGTCCAGAATCGAGTATCCAAGGCGAGCTGAAAAGATGGAGCACAAGGGATTTTTATGATGAGTACAAATTATACCAGGCAATAAACAATGATATCTGATAACTTGCACACAATATGACAGCTATGACAAAATCTAGCTTTGGCTAGAGATTCAAGAGAAAGTTAAACTAAAAGAATAGAATGCAAGCCTTTCAAAGAACTAAGGTGAGACAGTTGAACACTATACTAACACCTCTCAATTCTACACTGTGAGCACAGAGGTGTGGGTCAAGTCATATAGCTAGTAGGTGTGGGGCTGCATATGCCTCAGAATTGTGTAATGGGTGAGAAATAAAGTAATGGTAGTATCCATGAAGCTGGAGCCCCAAGTCTTCAGGTAGCAGTGGTAAGGGAAATTAATGAGAAAAGGAGGCCTAGTTGGTAGAGACAGGTATGCTATAAAGCAACAGGAGTGGGAAGGGGCTGTTAGGAAGGGGAGACATATTATATAAGGAGTCGTGAAAGCTCAAACAACAGAGTTGTCATTAAATGTAAAGACAACTAGCTGTACGCATTTTACATCATGTAGCAATGGATCATGGGCCTGATTATATTGCATGCCTTTCCAATTGTAAAACCTGTATCTATTCCATTAAATTAACAGAATGTTCAGTTGCTTTGGATTTTAAGTTCTTCATGTTTTTGTGAGGAATGACTGTTTTCAGATTGTAGTATCTAAGGTTTTCAAATATGATCTAAAAACAAAGTATGTTCTGGTCTGCTTGCTTAAAACTTCTGGTTCATATATCCAGAGCATTTATTTCTTGTAGAGGAGGTGGTGTTTCCACTTTGTTACTTGCTGTGACACCATGGCCCTCATCCCTCTGTTACTGTTGCTGTGACACCATGGCCCTCATCCCTCTGTTACTGTTTCTCGTTTGTACACAGGATGTTGATAACATTGTTAAGGCAGTCTCATCTTGAATTCCTACCCTTTCACTCTGCTAGAGAGAATGTCACAATAGTATTCATCCAAAGGAAGAGGAAACGGATATCTTTTGAGTTACACATGAAAGATGCTGCAGTAAGGTTGACTTTAACTATGAAGGGTGCTGGGAAGCCCTGAGGCCATATTCAAGGTGTGGGGGGGTCGATTTGAAATCATGATCCTGAGAAGCATAACAACAAATAACAACCAATATTTGTTAAAATGAGCACACTCAATGTGCCAGATGTCATTCTAAATGCTTTAAATGCATTTATTAGTTGACTCCTAAGAAAGGAAGGTGCTACTTTTGACTCCATTTTACAGAAAAGGACACTGAAGCACAGTAGTGAAGTTACTTGTCCAAGGACACAAAGCTATTAAGCAGCCAAACTGAGATAAATTTTAACATTTCCTTTTAAAGTCAACAATCTGAAAGAAGTGATAAGCAATGTAAACATGTTAGCTATATTAGGTATGAAAAATGAACCAGGATAAAAATTTAGACAAAATGACTAGAGGTCCTATGACAATTATACTTCTCGATATTGGTTCTGACCACTGGACATGTTCACTTTAAGGTATTTGTTCTTAGACCCTATATAAGGTGTTTATTATTAGAATGATCAAAATAACTTAAAATTAAGTGTTCAACTATAACAGAGTTCCTACTCACAAGCTTCATGGTTGCATGTAAATATCAATGATTTTGCCAAAATTAACCTTCTGATATGTAATCTTATCTGCTATCTGCTATATGTATTTATGCACTTTTATCACTAACATGGATAAATTTCAGTGGTGAATACGTTTTGTAAAATTTCTTTACTACCAAACCCTTTTTATACATACCATGCTCATGGACACCTATTTAAGTGTTTTAAATATTCAAATTCTTCTTAGGCCAGGGGCTCTTAAATAAAAGTCTCAAATACTTAACATAAAAATATACACACATACACTCAGAAAATCACAGCCTGTTTATATGCCACTAATCATAATGTCTTAAAAACAGCAATTAAGAAACAGATTTTCAACATAAAACAAAATATAGAGGATAGATAATACACTAGAAAAATGGATGACAAATATATAGAAATGCCCAAATCCTCAGCATCATGTATTTTTTAGTAAGCATTCAAAAGGCTGAATAATAAGCAGCAACAAAAATAAAGATCAGGAAACAAAAATGATATTAGAATTAGACCAGACCTTATTACAAAATGGTCTCAATGTACTTGAATAAATAAAAATCTAACCTTCAGAGTTACAGTGAATACTAAGACTGTAAAGACAATAGTCCCAAAAGTCCAGTTTCCGTATACCTGAAAAACATTAAATAATTATATTTACCATAAATATACAAGCCTGTTTTAAAAAATTTAAAAAGTCAACTTTAATCCTGCATGTATCTGACACATATTTTTATATGAATTTTGTTTAAGAAAACAACTCATCAATAAGATCAAGTCACAATGCTGGATTTTCTTGTGCCCTAAATTTTCATGAACAGGTATAACACACCTGTTAGGGTTTATTTCCATTATTCCATGCAGTATGAAACATGGAACTCACTGGTTTGATAAAGATGAGAGAGAGAGAGAGAGAGAGAGAGAGAGAGAGAGAGAGAGAGAGAGAGAGAGAGAGAGAGAGAGAGAGAAAAAACCTATTCCATTAACAGTAATATCCATCAAAAAAAGTCATTTAGATGACATATCTCTAAAGAGTTTGATATCAGCCTTTCTTATCTCTAAAGAGTTTGATATTGGCCTTTCTTATAATATCACTAAAGTTCTCACATTAGCAATAATTTGCAGACAAATGGACTCAATTTTTTTTAAATTAGTAATTTTTTGGCTATAAATACTAGAGCTGTCAGCATATGCAAATACCACGTATAAATCCAAATGATGGCAATGAATGGCACATATGCTTACCAAATGCTGTCAAGATCTGAATGCGTAACATTAAAACAGAAAATGAGATGTAAAAGGTTTTTAAAAAAATAAAAACAAAACCTTAAGGTTAATTGAAGCAAAAAATGGATTCAATCAAATCATACATGGATGTTAATGTTTAGTTGCTGATAGCAGTTCTTACCATTATTGTAATTTTAACAAACACTTAGAAGGATGGTAACATATACAGTAAAACCGTATTACATTGGACTTTGTGAACTCAAAATGGATAATGAATCAGAAAGAGGCTGAGTTGATGCTTCTTGTGTCACTGCTCAGAAAATTTTCTGGGCAAATGAATCGTGTCAACAGGCCTGGAGAGTGGAAAGTATGTGCCTATTTTGGAGCAAATTCTTTTTTTGGTGGGGGTGAGGGGAGAATACTGGGAATGAACTCAGGGGTGCTTACTACTGAGCTACATACCTAGCCCTCTGTATTATTATTTGTTCTAAAAACAAGACAGGGCCTCACTAAGTTGCGGAGGCTGGTTTCGATCCTCCTGCCTTAGCCTCCCAAGCCACTGGGATTATAGGCATGTACCACTGTGTCCAGTGGGAGTAAATTCTTCTTAAGCAGTAGTCATCTATATGTAAATTATGTGCCAAAGAAAAGTGAAAGTCACAGAATCAGTCGTAAAGCTGAAGGGACCTGAGAAATCACAAAACTGATTTGTTCTTATTGACGGGCAAAGTTTACTTGGAAAGCTGATGTAACTTTACTAAGATTTAGCAGGATACTTTCCTTGGCAAGGGCTACATGTATCTACTCTAAAGCAGATCTGCATTTCCCCAACAATTACTTTAGAATTAATAATTTTCATGGATTCATACTAAATTGATTTCTGCTAGTCTAAACTAGAGAGGATTTGCCTAATTTCAAAGTATGATACAAATTCACTGAGTCCATCACTTTTGTAATAGATGTTAATTGTGTAGGTTCCAGACACAGTTATTATACTCTGTAAATTATTTTTGAACCTTACCTTTTGCTTTGCATTATGATTATAAAGAATGACCAAAAGGGGCTGGGGTTGTGGTTCAGTGGTAGAGCTCTCGCCTAGCATATGCAAGGAGCTGGGTTTTATCCTCAGCACCACATAAAAATAAATAAATAAAATAGAGGTATTGTGTCCAACTACAACAACAACAAAAAAAAATGACCATAAAAGAGGAATACCAGAAATGGGAAAGAAGAACATAGTGAAAGCAGCATGCAAGGCAGTATGCTCAGTTTCCCACTCTGTAGCAGCCATGAAAAAGGCATCCTCTGTCCCCCACAAGTAATTCTCTCCTAGAGTACAGCCAGGGCAAAATCATTCTAATGCAGCTGCTGACTGATATAGTCATTTGTGAGGAAGGCACTGGAAGGACCAGTGTAGCCTTTCTGGGAGAACACTAGGCTCCCAATTAGAAGGAAAGAAAGGAAAGAAAAGAACTCTCTCTCTTCACTGCTTGGTGCAACACTCCACAGATATTGTAGCTATTCCTTCAAATCCAAACTTGGAAGGCCACAAGTGGGGCTTTGTTTTAAAACCTTTCTCATATCAAAGTGCAGGGGTCCAAAGTCTGAAGTTCTAAGAACTCTGTTTACCTAACAAAAATCATAGCCAAGTTAAGCTTCTAGAGGGTTTGTACATAAGCTCTCTAGTTAGCACAAAAAGTGATTTCTTTTTTTTTTTTTTTAGAATTTTTAATATTTATTTTTTAGTTCTCGGTGGACACAACATCTTTATTGGTATGTGGTGCTGAGGATCGAACCCGGGCCGCACGCATGCCAGGCGAGCGCGCTACCGCTTGAGCCACATCCCCAGCCCAAAAAAGTGATTTCTTATTGTAACACTTCCATTACTTTAAAGACATTGTGAAAATAAATATTGTATTTTGAGAAAAATAGTTTTCAAAATGATTATAGCAAGAGTATAAAGACAGAACCAATGCCTAAGGAAAAAAGAAAAGCCATGCTTATAAGTAAAGATGTAATGACATTTCTTTTTTACCTTTCCATTATCTTCTAGGGATGCAGTCTGAAAAAGAAAGTAAGTCCCAAAGAAGAACACTGTCCCTTCAAAGGCAGCCAGAAATGTTTACTCCAAGAAGGGGCCCAACTCTAGCATAGCATTACCAGAAATTTTCCTATTGAGAAATGGGGGAAAAAAACCAGGTTAATCAATCTCTGTAGGTTGTTTGTTTAAAGATGAAGTGAAACACCAAAGGTGGGCACAGGATTTGATCCTTTTATAATGAAGAGAGCTACCCCAATGGATTAAAAGTTTTTTGGTAAACACCCAGACTAAGCTGAAGGTTGATCTTCATGTAATCACTGCCTGACAACTAAACACTACAGTAAACTGTCAAAGTGCTTCTAAATTTCTGGCTGCCAACAATAATAACATCATCAATAATAATTACCTCACATTTAATGATTTATTTATTATATGCTAAGAACTGGGTTAAATGTTTACATACATATTAACTATTTTTATCCACATAAAAAAAGGGGGGCTGGGGTTGTGGCTCAGTGGTAGAGCACTTGCGTAGCATGTGTAAGGCACTGGGTTTGATCCTCAGCACCCATATAAGTAAATAAAATAAAGGTCCATCAATAACTAATTAAAAAAAAAACTATGTGAGATAGGTATTATTATTATTACTTCCATTTGTAAACAATAAGGAGCCTCAGTAACGTGTAACATAATGGTTCCTAAACTTTGATGTAACTTATAATCACCTAGGGATCTTTAAAAGATACTGAAAGTAAAATACTGCATATTCTCATTCATTTGTGAAAGGCAGATGAATGAGAACTATAGTAGAGAACTATATAGTAGAGAACTATATGAATGAGAACTATATAGTAGAGATCATGAGAGGATAGAAAAGGTTGGGGGAAGGAGGAGAGTGAGAGGGTAGATAACGGGCTCAAAAACACAGAGGGGGAGAAGTAATTCTTTTTTTTTAATATTTAATTTTTAGTTCTCCGCGGACACGGGTCGCACGCATGCCAGGTGAGCGCGCTACCGCTTGAGCCACATCCCCAGCCCAGAGAAGTAATTCTTATGTCCACAACACAGTATGGTAACTAAGTCCCAATTAATTAGCTATTTCACAATAAGTAGAGGAGAAAAGTCTGAAGGGTCCTAGAACAGAGAAATGATAACATTTGAGGAGAGGGAAATGCTAATTACCTGATTTGATCATTATACATTTTATATATATGGATTATAATAACCCCATAAATAATTACAAATACAGGTCCATTTGAAAATAAACATTGATGCCTGGCTCCCATTCTCATTATGATTATTTATTTATTTATTTTTGCAGTACTGGGAGCTACATCCCCAGCCCTTTTTATCTTTTATTTTGAGAAAGGGTCTTGCTAAATTGCCAGGATGGCCTTGAACTTGTGATCCTCTGCCTCAGCCCCTGGAGTCACTGGGATTATAGGCATGTACCATCATACTTGGCTTTATTCTTATTTTGAGACAGGGTCTTACTAAATTGCCCAGACTGGCCTTGAATTTGCTCTCAACCTACCAAATGGCTGGGATTATCAAGCATGCACCACTGTGCCCAACTTTCATTCTGATTTAACTGGCATGATCCTGACCACCAGGATCTTTTTAAAGCTCTCAAAGTAATTCTATTTTATTTTATTTTTGGTAACTCTGGGGATCAAACCCAGGACCTTGTATATGCCAGGCAAATGTTCTACCACTGAACTACATCCCTAGCCCTCCCAAATTAATTCTAATGTGCAGTAGAATCTGGGAATCATTAGTAGGAGCAAGCTAAAGTTCACTCAGTAAGAAACAGAGCTATATATATTGTCATGATCTTAACTGTTACTAAGCTTTCTAACTACAGTTGTTAAAATATTTCTTTTAATCAATTTTCTTCCTTGAAATTTAATCCTTAAATCTTAGTTTTCCATCAAGTAAAATAACATGTTTGAAGCTGTATAATGATGTTTTATAAATGGCAGGTGAACAGATCAAAGTTTAAATCTGTTAAGAAAATAGCACATTCTAGTTGGGCATGGTGGTGCATGACTGTAATCCCAGAAGCTTGGAATGCTAAGGAAGGAGGATAATGAGTTCAAAGTTAGCCTCAGCAACCAAGTAAGGCCCAAGCAACTTAGTGAGATCCTGTCTCTAGTCTCCAAATGAAATTTTAAAAAAGTCTGGGGATGTGGTTAAGCACCCTTGGGTTCAATCTCTAAGACCAAACATACAGAAAAAAAAAAAAAAAAAAGCAAGCAAGCAAACAAACAAAACACATTCTAGCTGGGTGCACATGTGCACACCTGATAATCCTAGCAACTCAGGAGGCTGAGGCAGGAGAATCTCAAGTTCAAGGCCAGCCTCAGCAACTTAGCAAGAGCCTGTTTCAAGAATAATAATAAAAAAGTGGAAGGGGCTATTTTCAGTACAAGTCAGAATGTGAAATAATGCAACTTTTACCTATTACATTTTCCAGGTGCATACAGTAATCTGCAATTCTGCAGGTGCTGTTGCCCTAGAAAAATGTCAGGAGAAAGAAGTGGCCACTTCACAAAAACAAGCTCTCCCCACAGCCAGTAGTCATGTTTCCAAGGCAACCAGGAACCATGGGGAAGGGACCTTCCCTAAAGATCCTTGCAGGGAGTTCCCAGCAACTAACTGCCAACCAATGTGGCTTTTCATAGTCACTAACTTGACTGAGGCAAAGAGGGCAAAAGCAGGAAATGGTTTCTGTCTTTACAGACCATCTGTGGGAGTTACATTACAAACATTGGGAAAAACAGCAGGGATATCATAATATGTTGGAAAGCTGCAGAAGAAACAAATTACACCTGTTCTTTTCATAGAAAATTTATGGTTTATTTTTCACAATTTCTCTTAATATGAAAATATCCAATTATGTATTATTTCACATCAAAGTGTTTGGAAATGCCTGAGTCACTAAATCTACAAAGGTGATATGTATACTATGCTATGTAGTTATTACCATAAAAATTAAGTGGTTCACTAAAAAGAGCATCACATGCAGATAGACCAGTACTTCATGTTCACAAAGGAATAATCAGAGTAACTGAACAATCTACAATCCAGTGATAGGTTGAGAGCACTGTTTGATCAAAGCAGGCACTTACTACTTACAAGTACAAGGTTAGGAAGGAAAATTGCACTTTGGTCTGGGCAATAGGCATACCATAATCTTCGTTTTTGCCTAATTCACAACTTATAGCTGCAATACAATAATTAAAATTTCACAGAAATCCTTATAATATTTGCACCCAACAGCTTTTTTCAGGCTCTCAAAATATATTTTTTAAAATATATTTTTAGTTGTAGATGGACACAATAACTTTATTTATTTATTTTTATGTGGTGCTGAGGATCAAACCCAGTATCTGTCATGTGTGAGGCAAGTGCTCTACCACTGAGCCACAACCCCAGCCCTCAACATTTTTAATTTATAAAAACACTCAGCATAGTCCAGAAAGTATGTGGAGGAAGGCATTAGAATAATGAGATTAACAGCTATACCAACTGAAAAATGATTATGTGTTACTGCTTTTAAAGATCTTTTATATGTAGTAACTCATTTAATCCTCACAAACCCATTGTTACTAGTGCTGCCCATGTTTTACTAAAGATAAAATTAAGACACATTCTGGGTAAGTAACCCATACAAGGTCACACAGTAAGTGACAGAGGCAGGATTTGAGCCCAGGTTATTAGCCTGAGTTCTGAGTGGCACTGAATGGGAGGGATTCTCTTCACTGCATCCAAATCCTACTTCAATCAGAAATGGGTACACTACTGGATTTCACTCTAGTTAGATTGAAAACAACTGTAGTTCAAACAATGTTTGAAAGCCTCTGGCCTGTTGGAAAGAACAAAGGGCTGGTCATCAGGACTGAATTTTGATCTTCATTTTTACCTCTGGTTATACCTGTGTCCTTAGGAAAGTAATTTCTGGGCCAACGTTCCTCATTTTCAGAGGGTGTGATAGTTGAACTCTATATGTCAAGGTTCCTTTTTTCCTTTTGTGGTACTGGAGATCTACCTCACGCAGGCTAGGTATGTGCTCCACCATGAGATAAGTCCCTAGACCTTCAGCAAGGTTTCTACGATTCCCCTCTAGATCTAATCATCCATTTACAACAAATACAGGAATCAGCAGAACAATTAAACAATGCTGTTAAGATGCAATCAGCAAACTCTAGATTGGCAGAACTTTACAACATAAAGGAGCTGATTTTGTCAACAAATTATGAGGTTAACCTACAGATTAAGAGAGATTCAAGAAACATATTAACCAATTGCAATGTGTGGAACTTATTTGGACCTGATTCAAATAAGAATATTGTTAAAAAATGAGCCAACTGAATAAATTTGAATGACTAGATATTTGATATTAAGGGCTTAATTTAAGTGATAAGGTATTGTTATTTTAAGTCCTTATCTTTATGAGATACATACTAAAATAATCTTTATATAATATTTGCTTCAAAATAAATCTGGGATAGAATAGATAAGGTTATTAGTGGAATAGGCTTACTGACAAATTGACAGCTATTGAAAGTGAATGGTAAGGTCAGGGAAGTTCATTATAAAATATTATTCTCCATAGGGTAAATGCTTTAGGACTTTGGAAAGGATGAGGATTTTTTTTTTTTTGGGGGGGGGGGTACAAGACATAAAAAGCATAGGAAACAAAAGCAAAAATAAAGATTGAAACAAAATAAAAATACTTCTGCACAGCAAAGAAAATAACACAGTGCAGAGACATCCCATGAAATGGGAGAAAATATTTACAAATTATACATGTGACAAGGGATTTATATTCAGAAAATATAAGAAACTCCAAAAACTCAATAGCAAAAATAGAACAAAACAACCCAAGTAACCTGATTTAAAAATGGCAACAGATCTAAACAGATCTGTTTCTCAAAAGAAGACATACAAGTCAACAGGTATATGAAAAATGTTCAACATCACCAGCCATCAGGGAAATGCAAACTAAAACTATAATGAGATACCACCTCACTCCAGCGAGAATGGCTGCCATCAAAAAAAAAAAAAAAAAAAAAAAAAAAAAAACACAAAATAACAAGTGCTGGTGAGGATGTGGAGAAAAGTGAATCCTTGCACATGTTTGGTGAGAAAGCATATTAGTAGAGCTATTATGAAAAACAAAATGAAGTTTCTTAAAAAAAATAAAAATAGAACCACTATATGATTCAGTAATCCCACTCCTGGGTATATATACAAAGGAAATAAAATTGGTACGTTGAAGAGATAGCTGCACTACCATGTTTACTGCACCACTATTCACAATTGCCAAGATTTGGAATCAATGTAAATGTCCATCAAGGGATGAATGGATAAAGAGAATGTGGTACATATACATGATTTAATACTCATCCATAAAAAGAATAAAATCCTGTCATTTGTGACAACATAGATGAAAGTGGATGTGATTATAAGCCAGGCACAGAAAGGCAAGCACAATATGATCTCACTAATATGTGGAAAAAAGTTGATCTCATAGAAGTTGAGAGTTAAATGATGCTTACCAGAGGCTAGAGAGAAGAGGGGGAAGGGAAGGATATAGAAAGGTGGTTAATCAATGCCTAAGTTATAATGTAATAACAGTAAGAATCTCTGGTGTATTATTACATAGTAGGGTGACTATAGATAACACCTATGCATTGTATATGTCAAAAAACACTAGAAGAAAGAATATTGCATGTTTTTACCATGAAAAAAATGAGAGATAATTGAGGAGACAGATATCTTAAGCCTGATTTAAACATTATATAGTATATACATGTGAGAAACAGCACTTAGTATGTATGATTTTTATGTCTGATGTATAAAACAGAGTTCTGCATACTTTTGTATATATTTGAATTGTTCCTTAATACTTTTAAAATTATAAATCATGTAATTCTAACAATTAATAAATTATAAATTTTATGAGTCATAATGTTTAAAGAAATCTCTTAAATTTGCATTTTCATTTCATACAAATAAACCACCTAAGTCTCTCTACTGCACTTGGTATCCATTATTTAGCAATATTTATAATCTGCTGTAAATTAACATCTTTATCTTAAGCTGTAGGCTTAATTCCTAAAAATCTAATTAAATCACAGGTTAAACAACTGGGGCAAGCGCCAAGCTCCCCATTCATACAAAAAAGCATCCATTTCCAACTGACATAAAAAGAATATAAGGGCTTCATGAGTTAATTCTTTCTTTCCACAAAACAGTTTTAAAATGTAGCTAATGAAGAGTGGCAGTTAACATTTCATATGCAGTTTATAAGAGAAAGGGTAATATAACCTCAGGTCAATCTACTAAACGTAGGAATTGGTATTCTGAACTACCAAAAATCTTTGTGTGCTTTTCTTTGGGCAGGTAAAAATTAAAATATTGTGTCTTTCTATAAGGCTCTGGGGATGCTATGACAATATAGGCTCAAACTACAGGAATTAGTGATTCCAGATTAAAAGTATGCTTCACATGTGCTCAAGCATAGGACCTACACATAGGAAATATGTTGTTTTCCTGTTGAACAATCTAGTTTCATCACTAGAATTCAAAACAGAATCACGTAATCAAACCACATGAATAGTTCTGTCTATCCAACCTGCAAATTGAATGAAACCCACAACTTAGAAAGTCTGAGGGGGTTTTAGCTATATCTTCAACTTACATATACAATCGCGGGTCTGCGGTCAGAATGTCAATGTTGATGTGCTGTTCCAGGAGACTGTAGGCCAGAATAGGCAAGGATGTGAAGCAGATATTGTACATTGTAAGATAAGTAGCATCATACAGTGGCTGAAATGACAAATATTACAGAAAAGAAACATACTATAACAATTATCTATACGATCATACTTATTACTTTGGAAAAATCACTAGCTAAAAACAAGACAGTTTCCTTTCATGATTTTTGGGACAGCAAAGGAAACGGTGGAAATAAGGTCCTTAACTGGTAATTGTAAAAAATAAACTAATACTTTGTGATTTGTTGTATTAATATGATATCTACCCCTCATTAGGATCTGATTCAGAATGTTTATATGTTATAAGCTCTATTTCTACTAGACATTAATAATTTTTCACTTGCTAAAATTACAGGTATTCAGTAGCTTTTTCAGCAAAGACTAAATAAGTCCTTAGAGAAACTAAATACAGGTAGCAGCACTAGCCTGTGTCACAGGGTTTTTTTTTTTTTATGTTGTTGTTAATATTTTATAAGGTTGAATCCTACAATAAACCATTTCTAACACCCTCTTCCTGAGAAGCCCTATAGTTCCTCTGGTGTGTGTTCTTCCTCCTTGCACTGAATAATAAAACCTAATTTGATCAATTACAAATATGCTCCTGGTGGTCTTTGGCTGTGTGCTTTGACAATCTTCAGCTCCCAAAACAAAACTTGGCATATAGGAAGCATTCAATAAATATTGGATGAGTGAAAGGGTACAAACTGGGAGCTATGGCACATTTGTAAAGAACTGATATGATATTATAAATCTTCTTTTATTGAAAAAAGTAAGGTATTTTATGAACATTAGTATGAAAGTACTTATTGAGTTCCATATCTACAGTGCTAGATATTGCCATATAACTATTTTCTGTGGCCTAAATAAAAAGCAAACCATATCATATGTATTTTTCACACATATAAATGTAGTTTGATTAATAAAATGCATTTAAACATGACACCAATGAATACAATGTATTAATAAAATGCATTTAAACATGACACCAATGAAAAAAAATACAATGTATTTTTTTTAATATTTATTTTTTAGTTATAGTTGGACACAATACCTTTATTTCACTTATTTATTTTTATGTGATGCTGAGGATTGAACCCAGGGCTTCGTGCATGCAAAGTGAACGCTCTACCGCTGAGCCACAACCCCAGCCCAACAATTATGTATTTTAATTACTAAAGATACGATTACTATCAAAATGGAGATTGACTCAAAAAGGTTGACAACAACTTGAATAGAGCTTTAGTTTATTCATGAGATGACTTCAGAACACTTATTGAATGCCTACTAAGTACCAAATACCAGGACAGAGATGATCCATCCCTACCCACCAAAGAGCTCAAGACAGGGAGGCAGAATGGGGGATGCACAAGTAGCTACCAAACCCAAAGGAGCCCTGGCCTGCAATTGAGAAAAACCAAGAGATAATTTGTGCAACATTCTCAATGAAATTTTTTAAAAAATGGCTCTATATAGACCATATATATGTAGACCAGGTACTATGTAGACCAGGTACTTCTCAGATTCCATAAACAAAGATTGAAGCTCAGCAAAAATATTCCAGTGGATTAAAAAGTACATAAAAGGTGTTACATTCCTATTAATTATCAAGTGTGAGGACTAGTCTGGAGCACCAACACTATATTTATTTTGGAAACTATCCATTTTCACTAATGAGTAAATGAAAAGAACAACAATTCAGATTGACTGGTGTATAATTTAGTCTTACATTTCATTCAAACAAAAGAAGCACCAATCTACTTTTGTTTTATTATGGTGCTTTAAGGTAACATGAGAGATAATTGCAATTCTTAGATGCAGTAATTAGAGGAGACAGAATGTCCCCAAAACAAACAGGTTTAGTTGATAATACTGTTTCTTGTTAAACCTGTTAGAAATGTTTCCTTTTCATGGAAGAAAAAAAAAAAAAAAAAAAGACAAGTACTATCCTAGTTTTTCTAAAGAAAGAGAGGCTTTTGCTTAAAGAACATGAACCCTGGTCCCATTTCTACATTCTTCATAGCCTGCTCTCCAAGTTTCAGAGAACATTTCATGTGGCTCTGGATTGAAAAAAGCTGACCACCCATGTGTCCAAAAGATACTTTGTAAGTGTCCAAAGATACTTACAATAAAGGCTGCTATTTTCAGCACTAGCATAATGCCAAAATCAAAAATAATGATTTCACACTTCATATCACCTTCTTAGACCTTCCTTTTACCTATACACTTTTCCTCAAAGACATCTGCTCAGTTCTTCCCCTCAGCTGCTCAGATCTCTACCTAAATGCTACCTCCTTATAGACAACTTTCCAGATGATCTTCTATAAAGCAGCAGTCCTTTCCCCTAGTTGCACACTATCCCTTTATCAGCACTTATCAATATTTCACATCATATATTTGTTGCATCTTTCCTCCATTACTACACTGCAATTTCCATGAAGATAAGGGAGTTTTATCTAATCACTGCTATATCCTCAGCATTTAGCCTAGCACAAAGCAGGGATTCAAGAAATATTTGTCAAATAAATGAACCCACAAGCTCAGTGAATGAGGAGGGAGCTAAATATCAACTCCTGTGGAAATCTAAGCTATTAGGTAATCTAAGCAGACCAAAGACAATCCTGGGTCTGAATTTCAGTTGACTTTAATTAATAGTCCTTTCTTTCTTCATACAACTTGTACTTGGTAAGCATGTTTTACAAAGGTAATAAAACAAGACCCCTTTCAAAATAAAAACAAACAAACAAACAAACAAAAAACCACGAGATCATACAAATTTTAAGTCTGCTAAAAGTAGTTAAGAAAGGAAATTTGAAAATTTTTTAATACTTGTACCCATCTAAAGAAGTGAGCAGTAATTAGAAGTATTTTGATCAACAGAAATATGAACATTCAAGAAAAGCAAATTAGGGGCTGGGGATGTGGCTCAAGCGGTAGCGCGCTCGCCTGGCGTGCGTGCGGCCCGGGTTCGATCCTCAGCACCACATACCAACAGAGATGTTGTGTCTGCCGAGAACTAAAAAATAAATATTAAAA